TGTCCATGGCTCCTTTTTTCGAAGGTTACTTACAAGCCAGCTTTGATTTCCTTCCACATGCCGGTACTAATTTACCATCGAAACAAATGAACGAATCATAGCGGGATCAGCGAAGTCAAATCCTCGGTCCACCACTATCTTACAATAACAATCCTTTCATTCATATTATGCAAAAAAGAAGAGGAACCATTTGACTGAGGTACAGAAATTAGTTCAGCAACTTGCTGCATTCGATCGCCGATCACCAATTCGACATATTCAGCCGCATAGGAATGCGAATCGTAGCCAGCACTTATAAAGAATATCGAAAGTAGCAACAGAAATGAGATCGTTAGTACCTGCACTTCATTACAGTCATTAATTCTGCAGTGGAATCGAATTTTTTTTAAAATTCTTGAAGCTGATGTTTGTGCGGCCAATAATTACAGACTTTGATCAGCTTCTAACTTATAGTTTGGTTTTTCGATTTTCTCAATTGCTTTGACCAGTGCTGAATTATCCTGTGGTCAGCCTGTTAGCGGTCCGTGATCGGACAATGGTCAGCAAGTTTTGGATTTGAATCAGAACAGCTATTAATCTGCAGAATCTTTCGTGTTTTTGAGAAAAATCAACATATATTTTTGTTTTTTTTTTCTTTTTTTTTTTTAATTCGTTCTATTGTCGCTGAATGACCTTTGGTGCACTAGTGAGTAGCATCGGCGAAATGTCCACTTCAGCAGCTCCGGAAAGATGGTGCTTATACATTAGGATAGGTGCTAAAATGCTAAGTAAAGATGGGTAACTCAGGCCTGGAAGGCTTAGCAGAGCTGCACTCAGGCTACTGATCCTGAAGCTGCCTACTCAAATAACATCGCTAACATGGGATTTCCAAAACCAGTTTTCCGGACGGTCCTAATATCCAGGTTGATAATTATTTTCGTTTATCGTTACCCAAACTATGGTTTGTTAATCGAGTAAAAAAGTTGGTTTAGAGGCTGATTTTAGTAATCCACTAGAATCACGTGTGGTACTTGTGTAGTGCAGAGGAAATAGTTTGTTTGCGTGAATAATGCATAGCGTGGGTAACGTGATGGTCAATTTTCACATGGTCACAGTTATTTTGCATTCAAGAAGATGATAAGGATCCGAGTTTGCTTTTGGCTTTATTTCTTACAATTATGTACTTTCTAGTTCTCAAGAAATTAGTTTCCCGCACAAATTTATACTTATCTCTTTTATACTGCCCCTATTTATACTTATTTCTTTCACACCACCTCCTCACATTGACAGGATCCAGCTATGGTGCAGAATAGAAATGTGTATGTTCTCGTGGACCGAAACATTCCTATTCATCTAATTATTCAATATATTTTTTAGTATAATTTTATATACAGCATCGTTAATGTTTTTATCACACATTATTTCAAAAAAAAAATGAAATGCTCAGTATTTTACTGATTTCAGGAGTATATTATGACATTACATTGAGGACAACAAATGGTTGAAGTAGCGCTGCTTTTTCGCTGATAATCCCATAAAACAGTGATAATACCACAGCAGTATCAACAACCAAAAATAGCAATTCCCAATTCCAGTCAATATCCGACAAGCCCAATGCTTTCAGGATCAAATTGCTAATGATAAAAAATGAAGATATTACAGCGATCGCATATGCTCCGTGCTGAAATCCAGTGCGTCACTGGAGAAATTCGACAAAAATAAGTTTTTGGAAATTAACACCTTGGTAAATACTTCAGTAAGCTGCTAATTCATCGCCTTGTCCTGCAATATGCAATCAGCAACCTTCCGGTTGCTTTAACCGATGCTGCAACACCCGATGGTCAGCTTGCGGTCATTAGGAAGTTTGTTTCGCTGCCCAAATTTTTCTAGTCAAATTGTTAAGAAATCCCAAAAAACCCAAATGTAGCGCATGTCCAGCTACTAAATGACACAGGTGCTGTTAGGTGACAATGTCCAGTTTTGGTTCTCCCCGTAGAATCACTTAGCGAAAAAAAAAAAAAAATAAAAAAAAGCAACTGTTTTGAGAATCCTTTGTGACTGTCGAGCATTACCACCTTGCCTCTTGAACGTTATCACTCTCTGATCACATGACTTTATACTTAAATTACTGATTAAAGAAAGTTGCCAGTTGTACAGATGGAGGATCTTGCTGGTGAACTAAAACCGAACAAAGTACCGAAGCAAGTAAAATGTGTCCCTAACACCCTAATAACATCACTAACACGGGATACCCACACTGATTGCCCGAGCGGTCTCGGTTTTTGTGGCAGAAAGCACACTGATATAAATACTGTGTAAATCTGATAGAGAGCAAAATCACCTTCACATGAATAGAGTAGCAGCAGCATCGATACTTAGCACAATCATGGTCGAATGGAAAATTTCTTGGTCCCGCTTTCAACATCTGTTGCATACCCAATCCTACAATGAATTACTACTAGTAAGCGAACAATAAAGCAAAAAACTTGTACACGTTGTGACGATTCGTGCAGGAAAATCTGTACACGTTACGACGATTCGTGCAGGAAACTCAGTGCGAGCAGTAGCTGAAATTATCCAGAGAAGGAATTATGAGGAAATTTTTACAGAAAGAAAGCGTTTTTAATAATAATTCAAAAAGAGGATTGGTTTTGCAGTGATTTTTTGAATATGTGGTAACAAATTAACTAAGAAATTAACAAAAATTTTCTTAATAGTCAAAAGCCTTCTGTATTTGCCCTTTTTGTAAGAAAAAACGTACTCGAGAGAAGTAGCCCGAGTGGTAGCAAATGCCAACAGCAACCGCACGCTGCAAAAGTCTTTTTGTTAGCTATTTAAAAGCTACTGGTAGCTTTGCTTTCCTAGTATGCTCAAGTACCAGTATATCATCAGAAAGAATGAATGAATCTACCAAGGACTGGCTGTTTTTCCGTAAATGTAATCAAAGGGTTGACCTTGAACATGAAAGTAGCTATATTATACGCCACTGCACCGTGCCCATAATTAACGAAAGATGAACATTTTAAAAAATTTGACGATTTCAAGTTACAGATGAAAACAGCCCGGGACCGAAAGGCTTGGCATAGTTGCATTGGCATGTGGGAGCATCCTAGTAACATCACTAACAGGGATACCTACAATAATGGACCGGGCGGTCTTGGTATTTTTGGTACATGAAAACAAAAAATATTATGGGTGAAAGAACAAAGAGCTTGTGATAAGATTAAGAAATATGCTTTTTTTATCGAAAGTCATTTTTGAGTGAAACTTTTTTAATAATTCGATATACTGCAACTGAAAGGGTGCGAAATGTGGTCACTGACGAAAGCGGAAAAGAGAACTGAACTGTTAAGAAGCTCAGGGCACTTGAATTGACCAGTGGTTGAATTGCGCGAACTATAAAAGATTCCAAAGGAATAGTCCTGATATACAGTGGAACAAATAAAAAACACGTTCAATTACATCTAAAGTGGTGCTGCTAGCAGTGGTAGTGGTGGAATGAATTGCTCGAAGAGGGAACTAGCTTGCTTGCTCGCTTTTCAACGATGCGTTCAATGAGATAGCGAGCCGAACTTTAGCAGAAATACAAACAAAGCTAGTGAGAGCAATTAGGGGCATCAGAATTTCACAATTGAGCTTAGTTAGGCAGTCCGGAAGGGCTAATCATATTCTCAATTCACTACTATTGCTCTGATAAAAGAATCAAAGGCATTTCAGAAAATGTACAGGATTATGCAATTTGGCGAGTTTCGATGAAAATAATGGCATCGTTTTTACGCATTTTTGCATCCCTGATATCCCAATTTGGACCTGAGGCTGTAGGTCAGGATATGGATAGGATACAGGAAAGACAAGGACCTAGATTTGCAGTCAATTTCCCCAAATTTTATATATTTTGTCAAAAATATCTTTACTAAATAGCGCCAAAGTATGTTGGTTAGCGAGGTAAAAGATAGCGGATGGATGTGGAGTCATCTGTACAAGATATCGAGAAACTGTGACGACGTATGGAATGAACTACTGCTGGATAACGCAGTAAAACTTTCCTGCGGCAGTAACAGTTTATTCGTGACGTGAGTTTCTTTGTGAGTAAGAATGGCCAGCAGTCTGGAAGAACAGGAGACATGCGTCTTTCCCCGGTCAGTTGCTGGATGCCAAACGCTGAGCTTTCAGTTGAAAGTTCAAAGATTAATTTTAAGAAGCTCGCTGTCGAAATCGTTTTGAACAGTTGCTCTGCTGAAAGAAAATAAAAAAGTCAATTCAAAAGAATGCTGAGTGTCCGGTTTAAAACTGATTCATCAAAAAAAAAACTAGGTCGTGAAACGGAGCTTTTGCATCATGTTTTCCTCCATTTCATACTCTCTCATCATCCACTTACCCTCTGCGGTCCCTTTTACCTCCCCGACTTTCATCGGATCCCTGTTTTACCGCTTCATCACAATAATAAACATAGCTATGTAAATACTCACTGCTCGTCACATATACTTCTTTTTTTGCTCGCAAAATTCCAAACTCCCAGCCGCTTTGGGTGCCTTTGTGTAGTCCAAGAGAGAGGGGTGATGCACAACACACACCAAGGATCTCGAAACAGCTAAAGCCTTTCCAGGTACTTCTCTTGGTAGAATCGCTAAGCAAAGGGACTTATTTAAAGGACAGTAACACTTTTATTAGTTCTTTTTCGAAAAATAAAACATGATATTTTTGCACTTTCCCTTAAAAAATCATGAAAATTAAGCATCTTCAGCATTTAGCATCTGCTAAAGCGTATGCTTATCGTATTATTCAAAAGTCTAAAATCAAAACCCCACCACAGCCACTCTCTACGAGAGGCGGAGGTAGCCGGAGTGGTTGCACGTGATAATCGGGTTGCTTACAAGCAAGCTTCAGCTCTCCGGCACATGTTAGCATCAGTTATCAGCGAGACAGCGGGACTTTTCAGCCAGAAATTTTTTTCGAAATTTTTTTAACCAGAAAAAATTTCGAAGAAAATTCTTGGCTGCTCAGTGACAAATTCTAAGAAGCAAATTAGAATGTTGAAACTGAACACTGAAAATTTTCAAAACGATTTTAGTCTTTTTCTTTTTTTTCAGAAGAAGGAAGGAACGCCAGAGTCGCAAGCAGGATGATTACAAGACGATGTGGCATTGATAAAAGTAACTGTAAAAGATGTCTGATGCGTATTTGATGAACTTCATCAGTTTTATGAATCAGTAGGTGTTCAGGGTAATTTTTTTGAGGATTCGGGTAAATTTTTAATTTCGAGGCTGATTGCTTTTTTAAAAAAAGGAGAAAATGGATAAAGACGAAAGTGCTGCCTCAAACATCCGGATGGGCATGGAAAGGCGAGGGCGGGAAAGCAGTGTGCATTCTGCATTATTATTATTATTATTGGAACGGCAAACTAGCAACAAATGCTTTTTCTTAACTGAAAAGCTTTTATTTTGAAAAGGAAAAGGAGATTTTTGCTTGCTATTTAATTTTTGCAGACAAAATTTTTGTGCAAAATAAAATTGACATTTGTTCAAATTTAAAAAGCTTTTTTTCCGATTGGAAATTCTCCAGAAATGACTTTCTTCCTCCTCCAAATTTTGCTCGTTTTTGCCGGTTATTTCTCGAATACGAAGATTTATTCGTTCAGCAACACTCTGCATATTTTTTCAAGACATTACATTATCTGTAGTTGATGTTCTGCGAAAATTTGGCGTGTTTTGCAACACAATTTGCAAAAGCTGTTCTCAAGATTTAGGTTTATTTTGTTCCTCATTATTATTATTATTATTATTATTATTATTATTATTATTATTATTATTATTATTGCTTTTATTTTCATTATTGTTGTTGTTATTATTTTTATCGTCTGTTATTGTTATCGCCGTTATTGTTATTGTTGCTATTGTTATTATTATTGTTGTTACTATTATTATTGTTGTTATTACTATTGTTGTTATTATTATTGTTACTATTATTGTTGTTACTACTATTGTTACTATTATCATTGTTGTTATTATTATTGTCATTATTATTATTACTCCGCTACTACCATCCCATTATTATTCCTGTCCTTATAATTTTTTAAAGGGGAACGGTAGACCGTCCCCACCCCATGCTGGGGAAACGTGCCCAAATCTGTGCTGCTATTTTGGCGGAGACGGCACACATTTAGTAAACAACTTTCGCAATTCATCATGTGATGCCGTTCGCGCCAAAATGGTAGCGGCTGTCTGCAGACGGCTGTGGATGGGGGGCGCGCCCTTCCTCCGACAGTAGCAGCGAACGAGGCCGCTGGGGCGAAGCGAGGGACCGTGTCCACATCTGGAAATTATGAAATAAATGAAAATGCACTGCATGCAGTAGCAAATCCTGCATATCTGCAAGTTAATTTTGCATTTTGAGCTTCCTTCAGAGACAAAACGAATGTCAGGATCGCCAGCAAGCCGTTCATCCGGCGATGCAGCATTGGCCGAAACAACTGAAGGACTGCTAACTGCATAACCTGGGTAACTAGCGCGGTGGATTAATGCTACTCGACGAGCTTTATTAAGTATAAACCCCACGGTCATTATAAGAACGATCAGCGTGGCTACCAGGATTCGCACGGACAATCAGTTTCAGTTTCAGTGTCTTGTGTTTTGTACACACATATACCAGGAATGCCACACATACACCTTAAAACATGAGAACGTAAAATGTGGGTTCCTCAAAACGTGTGTCCCTCGAAACGTGAAAACGCAAAATGTAAAATGTTTGTAACGTGAAAACGTGAAATGTAAAACGTGTGTTCCTCAAAATGTGTTCCTCCAAAATGTGCTCCTCAAATCGAAGGACGTGGATCGGACGTGTACGCTTTTTATGCGTTTTATTCATTACGTTATGTGTGCAATACGTTTGTACGCACCAATACCTTTCCCAGTCCCCAACCATCCCCAAACCCCCTCCCCCAACCCTCCTTTCCAACCCCCTTCCCCACCCGCAACTCCCCTTCCCCATTCCCCTCCCCCCAAC